CTCCTCACTATCCTATCCATGTTAATAATGTCATTCTCCTCACTATCCTATCCATGTTAATGTCATTCTCCTCACTATCCTATCCATGTTAATAATGTCATTCTCCTCACTATCCTATCCATGTTAATAAATGTCATTCTCCTCACTATCCATATCAGTGGTGATCCCAGAAATGAAAGTAATGAGAGTTTAATATCCAGGTATTTGTAAACTTAAACACAGTAATATTACCAAATAAACCAGATAAAAGATCAAAAACAAATAAATAAAAATAAATAAATGAGACACCTGTCTTGACCACATGTAACAAGCACAAAAAATAAGGTCTTTAGTGTTGAAAATGGATTTCTTAGAAGTGAAATTTATGTGCACTTTATAATCTTATATAAACAGATTAGCTTTACAAACTTAGAAAAAAAAAATATGGTACTTTACCAAGTACCACAAGGCCATCGTGTCCAAAAGACCAAAAAATGTAAGAGTGAAATATTACTTTGTTCATAAGAAACTAGCATTATGTATAAGCTCATAACCTTAACTTGAAACCTGTTTGTAAACAAATTCACCATTAACATTAAATGCTTTGTAAATGAACTAGTCAGTTTTTGTTTACAAGTTTGTTTTATTTTAATTAAGTTATCAAGGATTTTGAGCATTTTCTGGCCTTTACCAACAGAAATACTGACACTTTTCCAAGTGAATATGAACCATTTTATTAAATGCCATGCTTGAAGCTTCAATTTTATCTTCCTTATATCTTATTTCAGAGATATCTTTATCTCTCTCTCTCTCTCTCACTCAGGATGTTTTAATCTTATAACAGATTGTACTTATTTCTAACAGTAATGACACTGTGCTCACAAGAATCATGAGGAACCAGTAATAACTTACTTACTCTTGCATTTTTAGAGTTAAATGTCCAATCTGGTTCTCTTCTAACACAGCCAATACAATATATTTTTCACTTCTTAAAACCTGAGGAAAATTTCCATTGGTCACTTTGAGGAAGGCAGGAAAACGCTCCTGATTTATCCACGTATTAAGTGTTGAGTTCAATTCTGTATCTAGCTTTCCTGAAGTAGAAATGGAAAAGTAATATCTAGAAAAGTGTAATCACCATTCTTGTACAACATGATTTCGTATCAGAACACATATATTTCATTATTGCTTTCATACAGATATTATGCATATAACTGTAATGCAGAGAAAGTACAACACTAAGGGTTAAAAAACAAGATAGACATAGTCCAAACAATTACTTAAGATAACAGTAAACACTTTCGGGTCAGACAATATCAAAGTGAAGATACCAAACAATTCAACTTTTGAATAAACAAAAGTTACAGAAAAAAAAACAAAGCTAGGCAGAAATTACGTCTTCTCAATGAATAGCAACTGATTGGATAGCAAAAATGAAAAGAATAAAAAATAACTGTATCACTGAGTATTGAATAATAAAATCCTCATCCATTTTATTTCTACTGTAAAGGACAACTTAAATTAGAATAGTACATGTTCTTTAAAAACAAGCTTTATAAATGTTAATTCACATGTGAATAAAATATTCATGAGTTTTACCATACTGTGATAGAACTACATGCAGAAATGAGATTGATAAGTTATCCTCTTAAAGCTATTAATACCTTCAAATTTGAATCCCCTATTGTCTTTAAACACATACACTGATGGGGAGGATGGAACTGCCACACCTTCAACTAAAGACAGGCATTGATTCTGAACAGTGAAAAAGTAGTGATGAGGTTGAAGTTGTTCTGCATTCCTCATGAAGTGGTCCTAAATCAGAGTAACTGTTCATCTGAAGCTTGTTATAAGTTTATATAAAACACACACACTCAAGTGAACACAATACTTTACACAATTCTATTGAGAAAATTTGAAACCTGTATTCTTTATAAGCTACATTAAGATGGTATTGATAGCTTACAATGGCACACAAAGTTGATGTTTTAAGAAAAAGAAAGAAATATAACAATAACCAGTGGTGGAAATTTTGTTTTCGATATACAAGACCAAGTCTAGTAGGTCTGGGAAATGTATTAGGCTGAATTGAAATTCTACTACCCTAACTTTTATTTTTTTCACTATGTTGATTAACTTCTTACACGTTGCAAATACACACATACTTCTTCCACAGTATTACAAAACTAAAAATAATATGATTTACTACAATATATTAAACACAGACTTAAAATTTATGGGCAGGTTAATCAGTCTACATATGCGATAAGACTAGAGTTCCTGAAATATTGAATATAACATGATGTATACCACAATACATAAAATACATGCATTAAGAAATAATTTTAATCTCAGTGGAAAAAATAATCACATATATATATATATATATAAGAAAGCGATATAAATACAAAATTAAATAACTGGACTCTTTAATTTACAAGTTGTTAACCGAGTCTTGTTTGTATAGCAGGCTTGTGATGGATTAAGTGAAAGTACGTACTTAACAATTTGAAAGAAAAAAAATCAAAACAGGTAACATCTTTGTATATTTTAATTCTCAAATACAGATTTTGATTTATTACACACATGCACATATTTTATGCAAAGAGAACTGAACTATTGCAGTAGCCCGAGGCTAGTATATATGGAAAAGAAATAAACTGAACTCAAAATTGGGTGCTCCTGAGGGTAGGAGAAGTGGATTTTTACACCCCTGACAATCAGGTTGAGAATTAGAACAGCACTGAAAGGTTATAAAACTGAACTACACAAATGTTTAAAAACATTACTTACATTAATTAAAAGAAAGTGTATATCTTAGAAAATAATTGTTCTTTTTTTTTTTATCTTAGCTAGTACAAAGCTCTGTGTGTAACAAAATGCATCTAGGTCTACTTGTGGTAGGTTTTACAGTATTAATAATATTCATCAGGGTACCCTTTATCCTTTAAAAACAAACATCCTGCTTGAGGTAGGTCCTGTAGTATTAATTATATTCATCAGGGTACCCTTTATCCTTTAAAGAAAAACACCCTGCTTGAGTTAGTTCCTGTAGTATTGATAATATTAATCAAGGTACCCTTTATCCTTGAAAAACAAACACCCTGCTTGAGGTAGGTCCTGTAGTATTAATAATATTCATCAGGGTACCCTTTATCCTTTAAAAACAAACACCCTGCTTGAGTTAGTTCCTGTAGTATTGATAATATTCATCAAGGTACCCTTTATCCTTGAAAAACAAACACCCTGCTTGAGGTAGGTCCTGTAGTATTAATAATATTCATCATGGTCAACTCCTGTCTCACAAAATGCAAACACTAGCCAGACTTTTGCATTTTAAGATCTTTAACCAATGCACAACTGGCAGAGTAACACATGATAAAAAAATACATCACCATACAATCTAATCCAACTAATTAATTGTGCAGAGAAAGGGTTATGATATTCAAACACCCTACTCACGTGCTAATGATACGCTTTTTCTAAAGAATAACTCGATATGACATTGAAATTCACAAAGTATTTTCTTACTTTAAGTTCTCCACTATCATTAGGACATTGAAATTCACAAAGTATTTTCTTACTTTAAGTTCTCCACTATCATTAGGACACTGAAATTCACAAAGTATTTTCTTACTTTAAGTTCTCCACTATCATCCAATTTTTCTCCATCCACATACAGAAATAACACTTTGTGGTCCTCACGAGCTTTTTGAAAGTCATCACAATTTTTCAGATGTCTCACAGCAGGTCTATATAGCATAATTAAAAAACAAAACTGACATACATTAGAGAAAGTTTAATAAATACTGACAAAGTACTTTTAATTGGATTCTTTTGTGAGCCAATCATCAAAAGCAAACCATTATTCAAACTCTTTCTGGAATGAAGCTCTAATACGTTTAGTTTATGTTGTCTCATTCTTTCCAAAACTGATTAATATTAATCTTAAAAAAAATCTAAGATAAACAAAGAAACAAGATATATAAATTTAAAGTTTAATATCTACACTATACTGAAGTTTAGAATTAATTTCAGGCACCACTGCTGTCTACAACACAGAAAAAATGTTTGTATTATTGTAATCATTATCTCAACTAGTAACTCTTGCATTTAATAAATATTCCTCAAGTAAAAAAAAATAAAAACGGACAGAAAAGTGAAAATGTCAAAAGAAATAGATAATTAACATATTAGGTCATAAACAGATGAATCTCTTTTAGTCAGTAAAGTGGTATCATTAACCCATTAGATCATAAACAAATGAATCTGTTTTAATCAGTAAAGTGTTATCATTAACCCATTAGGTCATAAACAAATGAATCTGTTTTAATCAGTAAAGTGGTATCATTAACCCATTAGGTCATAAACAAATGAATCTGTTTTAATCAGTAAAGTGGTATCATTAATTGTCCATTATTGCTAAGAACTTGTTTAAAAAATGATATTTGCAGATTAGAGTAAACAAAAGAAAAACTTCAAGGTATATAACAAAAATTAGGTCTAGCAAGAAAGAACAAAAATATATTAAAAGTTTTGATATTTAATATATAGAATTTAAAAATAATTAGTTATTGAACTGAACATTTAAAATATATTTAGGTAATTGTAATCTACCATAAAAGAAATTCAAAAATTTTACTTACAAATCAGATTTATGTTAATTTAAATAAATGATGAAACAACATACAGATAAACTCAATCATCACATGTTTATTTAGAGAAATATTTCTCTTTCAATCTATTACTTTGTGAGGAAGGAAAAAAAAATTACCCATCCATTCTTCTTGCAAAATCGACAATTTCTTCACGTGTTCGGTCTCCTTTATATTCTATATTCTTATGACCTTTGACACTGATTAAGGAAACAGCACAGTTAGTCAACATACTCATGACCCGTGATACTTAATAGGGAAACAGTGACTTTACCCATAACACAGTGATTTTTAAACAGCATCGTATAGAGTACAAAGAAAATTACTTCCTTTAAGCAAACCCAGAACAAAGATTTTTGTTTCATGTGTAGCTTAAAGAAAACTTTCACCTGATTAATTTAGGAGGTTAATATCTACTCAAAATAAGTTATAACTTTCATTAGTGAACTAACAAGACTTTTCAATACTGAAGGGTTCAAAAACTTTTCTAAAGCTAAAGTTCTTCTACCAACTTTAACTACTGTTATTCATGTGAAATAAGGTACTAAGTAATTAATATAATGATATATCTGTAGAATCAGTGTTTGCACATAATGATATATCTGTAGAATCAGTGTTTTCACGTAACGATATATCTGTATAATCAGTGTTTGCACATAATGATACATCTGTAGAATCAGTGTTTTCACGTAACGATATATCTGTATAATCAGTGTTTGCACATAATGATACATCTGTAGAATCAGTGTTTTCACGTAATGATATATCTGTAGAATCAGTGTTTGCACATAATGATACATCTGTAGAATCAGTGTTTTCACGTAATGATATATCTGTAGAATCAGTGTTTGCACATAATGATATATCTGTAGAATCAGTGTTTGCACATAATGATATATCTGTAGAATCTGTGTTTTCACATAATGATATAT